AAGGGCTTCGGTCATTTACTCCAAATATACTGACTGATACTGACTGAAATGGTGGCGTCACTGCCAGCACTAGTACTACTACACTTCTTGCCGAGATTGAGGGAATATGAGCCCAGGGCTTACTTTAATCAGCATCACTTCTGACTTACAAAAAATTCAGTGATAGTACCAGCAAACACTATCATTCAGCTACACCTTAGTTAGTAGTATTGAAAATAAAAGTATTGGTAATAGCATTATCAGTCCTGGCTTACTAAAGTCTGGCTAGACACCTACTATAGGTGAATGAGGGCAGACAGTGCAGTAGTACCTGCGCAAAGTCTACTGTCACTGAAGGCTAGGTTCTGCGGTTTTTCAGGCCACATTGGAGAAAGCGGCTTCCGCCCGAAGCCTGCTTCAGTCATCTCGACTTCAGTCTTGTCACCAGTCAAAGCGGTTAGGGTTACAGTGAGGTAGACACTTGCGCGTCTTATTTCCCTATAATCTCGATCTTAGCTCCATTTACCGTCTCTGCTCTTGAGTATATGGTGGATTTCATCGAAACCGATGGTCATACTACACACACAGGAGGCTGCGGTAATTGAGGTTGCTATGTGTGCCCGCCCGTAGTCTCTAGACCACCTGCCACGAGCGCGCAGCAAAGGACCAGTTAAGGTCACGGAGGCAAGTTCACCCCCCTTTTTAGTTCCAACCGGTTGACCCTCACCCCTGGCCAGCGGGTCCACCCTTCACTTTGCTCCGGCTGGCTGGCTGGCTACCCTTCAGCTTTACCTTAAAGCCATCCCCCTTGCTAAGGTGGCTCGTCACCTGGACTGCTCCCCGTCCTCAGTAAACGTCCTGCCTGCGGACAGCCTTCTGTGCATGACAGAGGTGACCTACCCCAAACTTGTGTCTAAACCGGGTCACAAATCTCAAAGTACTTGTTTGGGTCTAGGGCAGGGGTCGGGAACCTATGCCTCGCGAGCCAAGTTTGGCTCTTTTAATGATTACAGATTCTGTGATTTTGTTTCCTCCAATGACGTGCCACCACCGAGACGCGTGGGGGAATTAATTTCATCTCGACTAATCACGCATTTGGCTCTCTCAGATAAAAATGGAATTTGAGTATTATAACAACATTATTCAAAAGAATAAATCCAGAGGCTCATTATGCTCACATTCAATTAAATCTTAAAATACATTCTATGGTTCTCACTGAAATATAGGAAAGAGGCTATATGAGTGAAAACCAGTCAAAATGAAGCAGTTCTTAATCAAACTAATTATGAGGATGTTGGGAGCTGAAAAACATCAATGACCTTGCTTTTTTCGTGGATATAAACTGAGGGAACTGGTGGAACTTGTATATGCGCTTCAAGCGAGGTCACACGCTGGAACTCAGGGTGCCTCAATCAGAGAATAAAGCAAGGCGTAAACCCTATTAGCAAAAATTCATCTCCCCTGATAACTATGTTGATAGGCAGACGGCATGTTCCACAACCCTTGGTACAGCTAAATGAATGTAGTCCTGGCAATGCCAAGACCGACTGCAATTATCAACGTTTACAAGCATTCTTAAAAAATAATTATTAAAGAGACATTCAAATGTTGTTAAACACAGAATGGACGGTAACAGCTTAATTGAGGTCACTGAAAAACTTATTTAAATAACCGATCATTTGCGCACGGTAATTAAAATGGCCCGAAAGTGCCCAGTTGGACAGAATCATCGACTCTTTATCAACTCTATATCATCTCTATATTAACTCGATAGGGGTGGTATAGAGATGAAATAGCGATTAAATAGAGATGATGGCAACAGTAGCTTATGTAGGTCTAATCTAACTCCAGAACTGTAAGTTGGACGGCAACAGTAGCTTTTGTAGCCTCACTCATTAATTCCTACTCCCTGCATGTTTTCCTACGAAAACGGTGGTTATAAGGTTTTATAGGTGGGGAATTAGAACACGCAGTGGAAGATATTTTAATAAATGCCAGATGTATTTTTATTTTACTGTATTTAGAAGTGTTGTTGATTTATACCTGTACACTTTCCTAATCTGTATTATCGTTTAACTTATTACGAAAAAACCCGGTCATCAAATTGCAGGTTTCTTGAAATTCCCGAAAAATTGAAATGGTGTTTAGGAGGTCATCTACTTCAACTTACTTGAGGTCCAACTTACCGTTCTGGAGTTAGATTAGTTTAGTCCGAACCATCAATTTAAATGCGGAGCAACTTACTCCCAGTGGCCGCGGGAAGCAACTTCGACTGCATTTTTTCACTCAACACCTACTTCTAAAAATTTCCCTCTCTGCCTATCCTATTTCCCCACCCCGAAAACTCTATAACAACCGTTTTTGCAGGACAAAATGTTGGGACTAGGGATATATGAGTGAGCCTACATAAGCTACTTTTGCCGAGATGACATATGACATAGAGTCAATGATTGTGTCCATTTGGGTACTGCTGGGCTATTTTAATTATCGCGTGCAAATATTGGGTTATTTGGTCATTTAAATAATTATTCACCTTATTTTCTACTTTTATTTGCTCTACTTTTTAAATCATTTTTTCTTTCGCCTGACATGCCCCACGCATTTGACCCTTATTTCTATCTGTTCCGTATTACGGAAGGATGGGATTTTCGCGTGCTATTTGGTGACCTAAATTGAACTGTTACCAAATAAACTTCTCAATCAATTCTTACACCGTGTAAGGCTGGAGTTCAACCGAAAACCTTCGCAGTCCTATTTTAAATTGCTCCTAAGACGCTATAGAACTCATAAAAAGGCTTCAATTGCCCATATATTCGTTTTCATGGGTGAGACACTGCCTTCTCAAAATGTCTCCGAATAATTAAAATTTAGTCCCAAAATTCCACTGCAGTCCTTTCGGTCTCCAAATAAACAGCCTACTTTCTCATATTTTCTCAAGATTTCTAAACTACTCTGACCGCGGAAAAAAATGCGTGACCCGTTTCGCTTTGCTCGCACGAGACATCCCCTGACTTTATGGTATGCATGTGGGTTTGTAAGCAGGGCTAATAAACCTGCGAATATTCCGCCAAAGCAAACATTTAAAGATGACCAAAGTAACAATTTCTTGAAACGTAAGTTCCCCGTTTCAAAAATCCAGGTTGCTTCCTTCTCCCCAAAATAGCCCAAACTTTGTTAGATGTGCATAAGGAAAGTAATTACGTTTATACAGTTATTAAGGCTTAATTGTGAAATTTATACTGATAATTGATCATTTAAGCGGAGAAGATCGAAATGGGTAGCTGCAGGAATGCACAAACGCAAGCCAAAAGTCCAAGCAACCGATAAAACAACGGGTCCGTGGTAGAGTGTTATACTCAAAATGCGTGGATTTGAATCTCGGATTGGGTATGACTGGCTGATGACGGCTAGAAATGGCCATCCCGGTCTTCCTTGAGACCACAGTTTATTAACAGGAGATCGTGTTGCATATTTATCTCCACCCAAAAAGTGTTCAATCCAAAAACCTTCGAAATATTCCGGGGGATGGATAGCGTTTCGCTCTAGCTCAGGAGGTGTCACTGCGACAAATTTCAGCAAATTTTGGTGGGAAGAAAACCCATCACATGCTTTTTTTCTAAATGAGCCTGCTCCGCTCAAGTTCAGAAGCAAACACGCACGAACATGAGTAAATTCTCAGCTAAAAAACCCGTACAGTCGCGGTCGGAAAGTTGCTATGACTGTCAGGGCTACTGCGGAATAGTCGCGCAATAGGCATAGCTGTCAACAGAGACAGCCAGTACCAGACTGACAGCGCTAAAGGCCCAGGCATGCGTGTTCTGCTGATCTCGTGGCGCTGAATGAGTCTTCTGACTGGACACCTCCTCTCCCCGCAAGTAACCGCGGGGCGCGCATGTGTTCTGATAGACAGTCGCAGACCCGCTTGAGACTGGCGAGTCACCGCCCGCTCGCTGCTGTCACCACGCTCGTGTGCCAGGAGCGCTACACGCCCATTGGCTGGCCATTCAGCCAATAAAGTGCAAGCGGACGCTGAGCACCAATTAAAATGAACTTTTGGCCGGAGTTCAAGCGTGGCGAAGCGTGCGTTTAAATATCCACCAAGGCGCGTAACTGTGGATCTCAAAACAGCTGCTAGTAGGACTTTTGTCTCTAGGTGGATAAGATGTGCACAGGA